ATCCCGTATGTCCCGTACCTGGGGGGTGAGCTCCAGGAAGGTGATTTGGGGGGAGGCATTGGACAGCACCAGTTTGCTCCTCACCTCCGTCCCGTCCTGCAGCACAACACCGTGTGCCCGCCCGTCCCTGCCCAGCAGCACGCGGCACACCGCCTGGGCAGGCAGCGGGGACAGGACCTCACCAAGGATGTCCTCGCTGCCTGCAGGCTGGACAGGCAGCTCCCCACGCCCAGCCATCCCATACCTTCTCAGCAAAGATGTGAGCTCCCCAGGCAGCCGCTGCGTGGGCGATGGCTTGGGACAGGGCCCCCATTCCGCCGGCCACGTAGCCCCAGGCGCCCCGCCGGCCCTCCAGCTCGCCCACATGGTGCAAGAGCACGTACCTGCGGTGGCAGGATCCCAGGTTATCTGCCAGCAGAGGTGACAGGTCTGTCCCCTGCATGGGCATGGTGGGGACAGTGCCATGACCCCCATAGATGGGACCATGCCAGCTCGAAGGATGCTAGCTCAGTTACTGCACCCACTGGCCAGAACTTGACCTGACCTGGGGACAGAGGTGTCCAAACAGGAACGAGGCAGGTGGGGACCACTCAGGAGAGCCATGTGGCAAGGATGAGGGGCAGCTCCTTGCCCAACCGGAACCCCTGAGCCACCCCAGCAAGGCTGAGTGGGTGGCAGGAGGGAGAGGCAGGGGGCAGGACATGGGGTACCGGGGTGCAGCAGAGCCGAGGAGCTGCTGGCACAGAGCGGGGCAATGGGGGGATGGTGCAGCCATGAGCCCTGGGGGGGAAGGGACCCTCACCCGCTACCGGGGGTGTGGGGGCTGGTCATGGCTCCAATCATTGCATCAGTAGCTAGAGTCGCCTTCAGGGGTTCTGACTCAAACCACTGATCCAGGATCTGGCCCAGGAGAAAAAGAGAGAGTCAGGCTCGTGGGGGGGCTTGCTGCAGCACCCTGGCAGGCAGGTGACAAGGCAGCTGGTGGCTCCCCACCGCTCCTGCTGGCACTCACCTTGGAGATGGGGGCTGTGAGCACCTCGTAATAGCGGGGCAGCTGCCGCCCCAGCA